CCATCCATCCATCCATCGTCCATCCATCCATCATCCATTCATCCATCCATCCATCCATCCATCGTCCATCCATCCATCATCCATCCATCCATCCATCCATCCATCCATCCATCCATTCATCCATCCATCCATCCATCCATCCATCCATCCATCCATCAGATCAGCTGTTTTAGCTTCTGTCCAGTTTATTCTAACATGAACAGCTCAGTTTCAGCTTTTTATCCTCTACATTTTAGTTGACAGAAGTGTAAACTGATCACCATCTTCTTTCTTTCAGGTGAAGGAGCTGTGTGCTTTGGGATTCAGCGATGAAACTCACTGTCATGATGTTCTGAGACAGAGTGGTGGTGAGGTGCGGGGGGCCCTGGCTCTTCTCCAGAGGCCCCTCCTGGAGCCCTTTCATAAACGGATTTGGAGTGACATACCCAGACCTCCTGTAGACATCCATCACCCAGACAAACAGGTGAGACCATGGACTCCACACTCTGTATGAAGCAGTGATGACTCAACACAGGAGAAGTTGGAAGTTTTTTGTAATTTTTTATTTTGGTCTCAAAAAAACAACTGAGTATCAGCTTTTATGGTATTTTCTTGTATTCGTTCGTTTGTTCGTCCGTTTGTTCGTTTTCTGCCATTTTTCCGGGGTCGAGTCTCGGTGGCAGCAGCCTAATCAGAGAGACCCAGACTTCCCTCTCCCCAGCCACTTGGTCAGCTCATCCAGGGGAATTCCAAGGCATTCCCAGGCCAGCCGAGAAACATAGTCCCTCCAGCGTGTCCTGGGTCTTCCTCTGGGCCTCCTCCCAGTGGGACGTGCCCAGAACACCTCACCAGGGAGGCATCCAGGAGGCATCCTAACCAGATGAACCACCTCAACTGGCTCCTCTCAACATAGAGGAGCAGCGGCTCTACTCTGAGTCCCTCCCGGATAACTGAACTTCTCTGAACATCTCACCCTATCTCTAAGGGAGAGCCCAGACACCTTGCAAAGGAAACTCATTTTGGCCGCTTGTRTCCGTGATCTCGTTCTTTCGGTCACTTCCCAAAGCTCGTGACCATAGATGAGGGTAGGAACATAGACGACTGGTAAATCGAGAGCTTCACCTTCTGGTTCAGCTCCCACTTCACCACGACAGACCGGTACAGCGCCCACATCACTGCAGACTCAGAACCAATCCGCCTGTCGATCTCCATTCTTCCCTCAATTGTGAACAAGACCCTAAGATACTTAAACTCCTCCACTTGGGGCAGGACTTTCTCCATGACCCAGAGGCAGCACGCTACTGTTTTCCGGCTCAAGACCATGGTCTCGGATTTGGATGCACTGATCCTCATCCCAACTGCTTCACACTGGGCTGTGAACTGCTCCAGAGAGAGCTGGAGATCACGATCTGATGAAGCCAAAAGGACCACATCATCCACAAAAAGCAGAGATGTGATCCTAAGGCCACCAAAACGGATCCCCACAACACCTCGGCTGTGCCTAGAAATTCTGTCCATAAAAGTTATGAACAGAATCGGTGACAAAGGGCAACCTTGGCGGAGTCCAACTCTCACCGGAAATGAGHCCGAYTTACTACCGGCAATGTGGACCAAGCTCTGGCACCGGTCATACAGGGACCTAACAGCCCATATCAATGGGCCTGGTACCTCATACTCCCGGAGTACCCCCACACAGGAGTCCCCGAGGGACATGGTCGAACGCCTTCTCCAAGTCCACAAAACACATGTAGACTGGTTGAGTGAACTCCCATGCACCCTCCAGGATCCTGCTGAGGGTGTAGAGCTGGTCCTCTGTTCCACGACCAGAACAAAAACCACACTGCTCTTCCTGAATCTGAGATTCGACTATGCGACGGACCATCCTCTCCAGAACCCCCGAATAGACCTTACCAGGGAGGCTCAGAAGTGTGATCCCCCTATAGTTGGAACACACTCTGTCTGCGGTCCCCCATTTTAAATAGGGGGACCACCACCCCGGGGTCCAATCTAGGGGAACTTCCACCGATGTCCACGCGATATTGTAGAGTCGCGTCAACCAATGCAAACCCACAACATCCAGAGCCTTAAGGAACTCCAGGCGAATCTCATCCACCCCCGGCGCCCTGCCACCGAGGAGCTTTTTAACCACCTCAGTAACCTCAGCACCAGAGATTGGAGAGTCCGACCCAGGATCCTCAGGTTGTGCTTCCTCATGGGAAGACGTGTCGGTAGGATTGAGGAGGTCTTCGAAGTATTCCGCCCACCGACACACAGCGTCCCGAGTTGAGGTCAGCAGCACACCATCCCCACCATAAATAGTGTTGGTGGTGAACTGCTCCCCTGCCCCGAGATGCCGGATGGTGGACCAGAATTGCCTCAAAGCCATACAGAAGTCTTTTTCCATGGCCTCTCCAAACTCCTCCCACGTCCGAGTGATTCTTGTTTTCTCATCTTTATTTTAAAACTCTTAATTAAAATCCAGGTTGTAAGACAACAAAGTAAAAAGAATCCTGAAGAAAATGAAGACTTGTATAAAAATGCTCTGTGTTTGTGTCGTACAGCGGATCTGTCGCAGACTCCTTGCAGTGTATGATCTTCCCAGCTGGGGCCGCTGTGAGCTGGCACTGTCCTTACTGATGGAGCACAGTGCACCTTACTCCCTGGAGGACGTGGTCCAGGCTGTACGAGAGTCCCACGACAGAGAGTTCATCAAGAGAGTTCTGGCTAAAGAGTGTCCTATCTGCCTTTGTGTTTTCCCCCACAGCAAGGTGCATGGGCACATCTTTAAATGTGTTGTACGTCTCCTTTCTTTTGAAGGAAATCTAACCGTCTTTTCTTTACTCCCGTCTTAGATGCAGTCCTTGACGTCGTGCCAGTGCTCGGTGTGCTGTGGCTGTTTTCAGCAGCACTTCACTGTTGCTATAAGAGACAAACACATCAGAGACATGGTGTGTCCTGTCTGCTGGGAGCCTGATATTAACGACCCCGAACATCTCAACAGCTACTTCTCCACCCTGGATATCCAGGTAAGAACTGATGAAACGTAAAAGAAAGGAGGAAAAGACGAGTCTGTTTCCCTTTAGGTTCTCTCAAACCCATCAGTGTTACATTCATCAACGTCATTGTGAAACCTTTATTGTTTAATTTCCAGCATCACAGTGTAAGAGTCACTTACACCTCTTATAACAAAAGTTATAAAAAAATTATTTATCAAGGGTTTTTGGCTTATTAGGGAAAACACCTCCTCTGTGCAAAGTGAATAACAGACTCAATAAGTAACATAACTCAGTGAATTTGATTTGATCCAGCAACAAATGAGATCATTTATTTACATAAATCAAACAAATTATGAGTGAACAACTTAAGTGTGAGCAATAAATTTTCCTATAGAAGTTTAAGAATTAACAACAATCAAGCACACGTCTTAGCTTAATTAACTATTAAATATGACAACTTTAGAAGCAGCAAAACATCAGGCTTATATGGTAAATAAACCAGAACATTTGCAGGTACTTAACTTAGGTTTTAGCAAGGCAGGGTAGTTTTAGAAAGGAGGAAGGTAAGATTAGTTATTTCTAACTTTATCTTAAAGAATGTGGGTTTAACCAGAAAGGCAAGCGTCGTTCACTCGACTTCAGCCAGAAAAGCAATGCTCGTAACAGGCCAACTTTTACCTTTGATGATGAGGTCAGTCACCTGTCCATGTTTTCATGGAAGGCACTCTCAGTCGGTAAGAAACCCGTTAGATTTGCTTACTCATCTGTGGTCCTCCAGACATGTCAGACTTCAGCACCGGCTGGTTCCGTGTCAAGCCGCAGGAAAGAGGCGAAGCCAAAACTGTTTCCCGTTTCAAAATAAAATTCCTTCCCAGAGGAAGGTTTAAAAACAAGCTACTTGTGGAGCCTTAAAGCTCGGGTTTTTGGACACGACAGGGGGTGTTGTGTCCCGAATGTGAGATTCCCCGTTGGCTAATGGGTTCGAATCACGCAGCCAAAATGCTGTTTCCTCACGGAGAATACAGCTGCTCCCGTGTTTGGATAGAAGTGTGTCTCACTAGTAAGGGTCCGACCAGATGTTAGTACAAGAGAAGAATAGTTCCTAGGTCTGCCCTTTGTTTGATAAGTTAGTAACAGGGAGAATTGAAATTGTTAGCTCAGACTGCCCCTCGCCATCTGGAGCTAACAAAGATTGTGGATCTCTGAACAGTTGCATAAACAAACATATCATGTTGACCTGTTGCTCATTCATCTTAATTTCCTGAAAGGATGAATTATTTCCCTTAAAACATTTTCCTGATGATTCAGACAAATAAAACATTAATGTTTCATAATAAAACTTAAACCACAACGATTAGTTTAGTTAAGACATTTCAGCAGAAAAGTCCATACACATGAGGGACCTGTTCTCCTTCTTCAACTTTCATAAACATTGTCTCTGATTGTCAAATGCATAAGAACTTAAAAGAAAAATAAATCAAAATTAATGGGGATTATTCAGTTTATTATCTGATTAAGGGGCGGCACGATGTCTCAGTTGGTAGAGCTGATGCCTCTCAGCAAGAAGGTCACTGGTTCAAATCCCGGTCCGGGGACCTTTGTGGGTAGAGTTTGCATGTTCTCTGCGTGCATGCATGGGTTCTCTCGGGCACTCCAGCTTCCTCCCACAGACCAAAAACATGACTGTTAGATTAATTGATAACTCTAAATTGTCCCTAGGTGTGAGTGACAGAGTGAATGGTTGTTTGTCTCGTTTGTCTCTATGTGTGGCCCTGTGATGGACTTGTGACCTATCCAGGGTGTACCCCGCCCCTCGCACTGTGGCTGCTGGATATGGGCCCCAGTGACCCACGCGACCCTGAAAAGGAAGAAGCGTGTACAGAAAATGGATGGATGGATGGATTATCTGATTAAAAAAAGAGAGTGTCTCTTCAAGGTTAAGATGACCTGTTATGGCCTAAATTCAGTTTAACTGGAATAGAGCTCTGTCTCTTTGAAGGGGCCCTTCAGAGGCCTGAGGTCAAAGACAGTTTTCTTGTTTATTCCACTTGAGGTGACCACTACAACAGTTTGAAGCTACGTATCAAGAGCTTATCTGGCTACATCATGGTGCAGGATGGCTGAAAATGCTGCTCATATTAAGTTATCGTGTTGTGTTTCAAAATATTCTCAGTTTAGACCAATAGACATGGTGGGTTTGGACCAAACACTTCAAGACTCTTAATGGAACAGTACATCAGGACCTCCATGTTTCCTTTCACACTGTCAGGGTAACACTCAGCTGATGACGAGCTGAAAACAGGAGCTGCTACAGTAGCAGCAGTGTAAAAACAAAAGTAAACTACCTGAAAAGGTTTGAAGGACTGTGAAGTGGTCTCCTGCAGTCTGACAGCATTTTCACTTTATTATATAGAGCTTAGTGTAACTGACTTTATTCACTTTATTCATATAATGAATATAACTCCCAACACCTCAGGGCACTGCACAAAACATTCACAAGTAATAATGTTTTAATGTGCTTCGGCTTTATAGAAGCATATTCCTGAATTTACTACATTAGTTGTAGTTTTATTTTGGTTTAATTTACAGGTGCTGGTCATAAAATTAAAATATCATGAAAAAGTAGATTTATTTCAGTAATTCCATTTAAAAAGTGAAACTTGTATATTATATTCATACATTACATACAAACTCATATA